AAGAGCTCAGAACTTCCCATTTCCTTGCTAGGGCTAAAATTAAACTGTCCATTCCTTAGGGCCCAACATAACATCTGCCAGATGTCTTGGCATATCACACAAGAGGAATTTTCTTCTACCATTATCTACTCTCCTCTGTATTTTCTCATAATCAATTAATAGGTCACCAACAACAAGCTAATGTTTCTCTCAAAGCCACCAACTTCCTAACTGTATGAACCTCAAAAGATACTTGCCCCCCCTCCACACACACACAGGCTTTTTTTTTTTTTCAGTTTGTGGGATTGTAATGATAGACCCTAGAAATATTTTCCTCCACTTCTTTTGAATTTCCTTAATTTCCACATACCAATCATCCAATCATATACTCATGTCAGATCCTTTGCAATCTGAGTTCATTATTTATATATTTCCTAATTTGTGAGTGTGGCATTGTGTAACAGCAACTTGAAACAGTCAATACAGCTTTGTCAATGCTCTGTCCCATGAGGCGGTGAGTGCTAATTCTGATAAAGGCATATAGCACAAAGAAGACGAGTAAGGTTACCTTAACCAAGAACTCACAACACCAGGAAAGAATTCAAGACAGACTAGACCCTATTAAACTCCATCATACAGAAAGCAGAACTCTTCCTGAGGCAATTTTACCATTCTTTTCTTTCAGGAAAACTGACCACAAATACTCTAAAGTCCATTAGTAGGGTTGGATTTCTTTTCTCCTACTATCTTCCAAAAGACTCATTAGAAAGAAAGAACACACACACACATACACACACACGTGTGTGTATGTGTGTGTGGGGTGTGTGTGTTTGTGTGTGTACATATGGTTTTTTTCTTTCTATCTAAAAGTTGTTTCCAACTCCAAGGAGTATGGAAAAAAGTCCTCAGGGAATATGGTCAATAAATTAGATGGACATAAATCTAATATGAGAAATATTATGGAATACAAAGATCCAACAAGAATCTTTTCTATGGCAATGTGCCTCATAGCTCACATGTATTTCTCCAGAATGTGATATATTAGAGCTAAGGAAAAAAATTTGCATAACGAGCCTCATCAACTTGATGTCTCAAAAACAACAACAAAAAAATCTCTGAGCCTTGATATCAAATGAAAAGGTTCAATTTGACACTCTTTGTATTTCTCTCATAGCACTTTACCCAAAATACGTGTCCCATGTCTAATGTGTACGTTTGGAAAAATGCAAGAAACCACATCTTTAATATTAGGTGCTTCCCATGTTGATGAAGGGCATCAGAGATGAATATGTTTCTTAGGTAACCAGTAGAACATATTCTCAAACTCCAAAATGCCTCTTAGATACCTAATTTTTTCCCTCCAGGAAAGCTCAACTCTAAGACTGTCTATAAAGACACCAAAACATTTGGTCACAAAGTAAAAAATGTGGTGAGTCAAACTGCTGGACCAGCAACCAGTTTGTCAGATTTTTTTTTCCCCCTGCTGAAATAAGTAATTAACCGGTTGTCCTGGTATCAACAACAACAAAGATATGGAAGTTTGCTTCAAGATCAACCTATAATGTATTTGTTTACATACACAAATATGGTTAATTAGATGCAAAATTACCTGGTAATTACTTTCCCAAATAACTTTTTATTCCATTGCATTTGAACTTCTGAGTTTGAACAAGTAGCATCCATACACGCATTAGCAAATTTTGTAAGTATTAACACTGACAACATTCCACTTAAGAGCAAAAGTAATGGTATCAAAAGATAACATTCAAAACTGAATTATAAAAGAAGTAAGATTTTTCAAGTGCTCCTGGGGAAGCCCAGGTTTTTAATAAAGAAGCAGAGACCTGAAGAGAAGTATTTTTAAATGAGCACACACATCAACTGAAAATCTTGAAAACCATACATCTTCGTCTGCAAAAACAGGGTTTTACTTCATTGACCATGGACAATTACCAGCTAAAGAGCCATGTATTTCTCCTTTCCTTTCACACTCCTCAGAAGAACAATAACCCTCAATTAATGACACAACAGTTTGGTTTGAAAAATGTGATGTTGTCATATACAGCATTGGGCATTTACTGAATGACAATGCTACAAACTACTCAACAGAATATAATTACATCTGGAATCTAAAACCACTTCAATATGCACACTAATACTGTAGACATAGGAACTTTACACACACACACACAAATCTGACACACAATGAGAAAGCAGAGCAAGAAAAAAGCTGGTGTAAGTCGCTCACCAATGTGTTCCTTATTTCTGTTGAAGCTGGTACCTTTCTATGTCTCTCCTTAGTTGAAAACAAGGTCCAGTCAGCCTCCTTACAATATATTAATTGGTTCTGAATCTCCTCCAAGTTTTCATTCCATCGTGGAGGCTTCCTCACCTATCTTATCAATAGTCCACCTAAAATTCTTCCAACATCTTCCCTCACCCTCAAGATGGCTACCTTACCTAATGGTAAAGCAACATCTTCATGGGTGGCTTTTATAAATTCCTCAAGCATTTCAGGATTTTGTTCTTTACCTGGATCAATTACATACATTCTCTAGAACTAATCTGTGAAGAACTCCAATCAATGTGTGTGGACTGGGGTAGTATTGGGTCCTTCCTTCAAATCATCCTTACAAAATGTCTTCCTGTAGGACTACTACATTCTTCCCAATTAAAAAGGTGAAGATACCTGGACATAAGGTTTTCTCCACAGACATAATCTTTTAAAAATTTGTTTCCATAGTGACATTGTTAAGAAGACATCTGATATTTCTGAAGACTTACAGTACTTGAGAACACAGAGAAAAAGAGCAGAATGAAAGGGAAGAGGGAAAACAAAGGAACTAAAAGAAGGCCTTATACACAAATGGAACAACCTGAAGAGAAATGTGGACTCTGGAGAAACTGGGGTCAGTCAGTCTTAGAGTTCCTCTGAGATCTTGCAGGGTTTGTTGTTGTTGTTGTTGTTGTTGTTGTTTTCCCTTTTTGCAGAAATCAGCCCAAACCAGACAATAAAGTCTTGCCATGCATCAAATCATGATGATAACCAAGCCCCAGAACTCCAAAATCTCAGCTTTAGGGCCACCACCATCTTCACAATGAGGAAATAACAATTCCTGGTGACTTTCAGGAGACCTGGAGCAGCTTAAAAGTTGGGTGAGGACCTCGGTGGAAAACGTTTAAGGTTTTGCCTTGCCTTTCCTGAAGGAGGTCAAAACCCTTCAGGTCCACTCAAAAGAAGAAAAAAAATTTCCAAAGTTTACTTTAAAATGGAAACAAATGCCTCAATAACTTGTGAAAGCACTCCTTTGGTGGGAGAAAAATCTGAGCAGCCCTTACAAGTCCCTCATTTCCTTGCATAATGAATAGATGGTGAGGAACCACCACAAGATTTCACCCTGGAAAAGAAGGAGTAGGCAGGCAAGCCTCCTCCTCCAGCATCACCAACAGAGCTTCAAAATGGAGACATCCATAATTTTATAAACACTTCTCATCTCAGCTTTGTCTCCTGGAAACCCGCTCTCCTCCATTTTCTGGTGGAGTTACAACATGACACGGCTTACCTGACTCAGTTCCCAGCTCTCAACCAAACTAGTCACTTCCTCCAAAAACCTGCAAGCCACCTCCAGAAACAAAACCAAAGCAAACCAAACAACCAACACAGACACTCAGACACAACCCCCGGGAGCCCTGGGAGAAAGCCCCAACTGGTTGGTCTTTTCCCATCCCAGACGCGTGCTGAAAAATAAAACTTTTTTTTTTCCCCTTTGGGTAGAGGAGGAATATAAAAGGAACTCCAGGCAGCCTCCCTCCCTCTCTGTAGGTTAGAAGCTACAATGAAAAGAAAATGAGGGTTCCTTCAGGAATGGTGAAAAGCCTGGAGAATGAACGTGAGAAGGAGCTTTGTGTTTTGGAGTCTGGACTGGAACCAAAGCAGACAGCTTGCAAATGGAGGACAGGGAGATAAAGAAAGGGAAAGAGAGGGGCTGCTCCAATGGGGGGCGGCTGCGGCTTCCCCGCGTGCCTGGAAGGAGGGCAGACCCCTGGGAACTGCACCAGGAGTGAGGCGACCCCCAGGCCCCTGCCTTCTTTTCTCCCGTCCTCAGAGAGCCAAGCGTGTGTAATGGCTTCTCCTCTCCAGAAACCGTTGTCCTCCTCCACCAGACGCTTCTGAACCCCCAGCCTGGAGACAGCTCCTCAGCTGCTCCTGAACCTGCGCCCCCCACCCGGCCCGCACCCCCCGCTCCTCGCCTCTCTCCTCACCAGCAGCACCAGCAACACCAGCAGCGGCGGCAGCCACCCCCCGACACATCCCGACCCCGCATCCCAACTTCGGGGAGAGAGAGAGAGCCAAATACCTGAGGAAGAGGGGGGTGCCAATCCGCACGGCTTTGCCATCGGGCTGGGGACAGGCAGACAGAGAGGGGGAAAGGAAGGAGAGGGACAGAGAAAGAAAGAGGTCAACCCGCTCAGGTCGGGGCGGCTCGGAGCGCTCGCTCCCTCTGGCTCTCGGCTCAGGTCCCCTCGCCTCCCGCCCTCCGCCCCCCTCTCTGTCCCTACTCCTGTCCCCACACTCGGAGCATCCGTCCTAAGCCTCCAGCTCTCTTCTCACTCATCTTTCATTTTCTCTTCTCTCCATAGAACTACACGAAATTAATTAAGCCACAGCGCTCCGCTCCCCCCAGCAGAAGGAGCAGCCAGCAGGAAAAGCACAGCCACCTCCACTGCCACCACCACCACCTTCTCCTCCTCCTCTTCCTCCCTCGCTTCTCCTCCTCCTCCTCTTCCTCCTCCCCCTCCTGCTCTCCCTCCTCCCCCTCCTCCTCCTCCTCCTCCTCCTCTTCTCTCTCGCTTCTTCTCCTCTTCCAACAGCCAGTCCATGCAGGGGACTTCCTCTCCTCCCGGCTCCACCAACCCTCCTTGGCCGAATGAATGAGCGCGTTTGTGCCTCCACCGCCCCGCGCTCTCCTCCCCGGAGCACTCGGACCACCTCGAGGTGGTGGTTAATTGCAGTAACTTACAGAAGAAGCGTCCCGGCGCCGGGAGGTGTTTCGGGTTCTCCAGCCCCACCGCCTCCTTATCCTCTTTCTCTTTCTCCTCTTCCTGCTCGGGTTATTGTTGTGGAAGTTGTTTGGGAGTCTCATGTGCTTCTGCCGGGTCTCAGCAATGGAGGATCGCCATCTTCCCTGCCTTCCTCGGCTCCTCAGACTCGCTGCAGCTGCAGATGACCTGAGATATCCGTCTCTCTCTCTCCCTCTCCCTCTCTCTCCCTCCCTCCCTCTCCCTCTCACTCTCTCTCTCCCCTCTCTCTCCTCTTCTCTCTCCTCTCCTCCCTCTCCCTCGCGCGCTCTCTCTCTCCCTCCCTCTGTGTCTCTCTCTGAATAATGAGCAACCAGAGGGAGAGAGAAAGCAAGACAGAAAGAGAGAAGGAAGACAATCTTCTCCTGCCACACAAAACGCCGGAGCACCAGGGGGTGCGCGAAGCCTTTCTAATAACAACAACAACGTGCAGGAGACAGGAAGAAAAAAGAAAGAAAGAAAGAAATGAGAAAAGGGCTGGGGGGGGGGAAGGGGAGAATTATCCAAGAGCTGAAGAAGAGCAGAAGGAGAAGCTGGAGGAGATGCTGAGGCTGCGGCTGCTGTCCCCCCTCCCCCCGGCTGAACCCCAGAAGGAGGCAAGGTGGTTGCAAAGTTAAGGCTGGGACATTGTCTTTGTCACTCTGAGCAACACAGAGCCAGGCCAGTGAGATGCACGAGGAGGAGGTGGCGGTGGCGGAGGAGGAGGTGGTGGTGGTGGTGGTGGTGGAGGAGGAGGAGGAGGAAGAGGAGGAGAAGGAGGCAAAGGAGGAGGAGAAGGGGAAGAGGGAGATGAGATGAATAAAGACCTGCGGAGAAGGCGGTGCGAGGAGCGCGGCGGCCGGGCTGAGGCGTGCGCGCTCGCGTCCCGGAGGCGCCCGGCCGCCTCGGCCGGCAGAGGAAGCCCCCAGTGAGGACCCTGCCCCGCGGCTCATAGCTCTCCCACCATCAGCCCAGCCCGAGGCGCCGAGCCCCGGCCCCAGAGAGTCCCTCACACGCATCCATCTAGAGGCCAATCTTTGCAAAGAACATACATGGGGAACTAGAGGTTGCAAGTCTAAACCCAGATCAACCACGTGGGGCTTTTTAATCCCTTTCCAGCTTGCGGTGTGAGTATCTCCAGTGAAAAGCTCAAATTGTCCATTACTGGCACGTATTTTGAAGTCTTCTCCCCCGAAATAAAGGCTCATTGTGAATTTTATTTCTTTTCTGATATGGAAACGGGGGTTGGGGGGAGGGAAGGAACCCATCATTCCGAGCTTCGGAACAACCACTTTATTTTCCTAACTTGTGAAATGTTTTGACGGAGCACCAAAAGGGGGGAAAAAAAAAAAGCCTACTTAAATAACTTTACACCTCCAGCCCCGCGTTGTTTGCACTTTCTGGCTGATCATCTAAAGTCTCGGAAAGTAACAATCAGCGCTTCTAATGATAAGGTGTCATGGTGTTGAAGACAAGAGAACCAAGATGAGGCTTTCACACCTTGAATTTTTATTTAGTGTAATTTCCCCCCAAATGGTTCTGAACTATCTCTTTTGCAAAGGAATGGGTTCCCCCCTCACCCCTCACCAGGTCGAATGTCTCCTAAGGCTTTAATTTGATGGGGGGGGGGGAATGCCTACACTATAAAAAAGAAAAATCAATACAGCAAGTCAGGAGCAATTGGAGTTCAAGGGCACGGGCTGGTTGTATCATTTCTATTTCTCGCATCCTCGAGTTGGACATCACCAGCATCGGGAGAGAGAAACACAGCGCGCGGGGCAAAGACCTTAATTAAAGTTTCTTTTGTCCGCGTCTGAATTGGGGGATGTTGCTGGATTCCTTTGCATTGGGGGGCGCGCATCCGGTGGAGAAGGCGCGGTGTAGAAGATCCAGATCAGATCGTCCTCTTTAATACTCCCCCCCCCCCCAAACAACAGTCCGGGAAGATATACCCATAAACCCATACAATAAAGGGGAGGAGGAGACGCGCGCGGAGTTGGTTCCCATCGGATAGCGGGCTTTCATAAACAGATCCGAATCCTCATTTTCCAAGATTTTTCCCAATCGTTTATTCCGGGGCAGAATCTATCACCGAGAGGCACGATTTCACCCCCTTGCAGTCAACACTTCCTGCCCTTTTCTCCTCCCACTCACATTGAAAAGCTTGGGAGCCCTAAAAGGGTGTTGATGGCGGGGGTGATAAATAAATAAATAAATGACACTCTACGCGTGCGGTGGGGAAGGGGGGGGAGGGCGAGGAGAGGGAAGAGAAAAAGTAGGGAGAGGAGAACAAGGAGGAGAAAGCACAGAGGCGAAAGGGAGACGGGAGTCAAAGAAAGAGAAGAGAAAGAAGAAAGGAGAGAGGAGGACGGTAAGGCTTGCTCACAAGTGAAATGCCCCTGGCTTTGTGCAGAACTGGGAGAACTCCCCCTTCCAGGTGCCCGGAGGGACCGGGGGAAGTCCTCCTGCCCCGAGCTCCTCCCCCGGGACCCCAGGGGTGTCTGAGCGCCGGCTGCCGCTCCCCCACAAAATTCCTCGTGGCAACGAGAGGAAGCGCGCCAGGTCTCCGCCGTCCCTTCAGTGCCCCAGCTGATAATTTACCTCTTTGTCTTTAATAAAAAGCTGACTTTCTCTGTCAAGCCCTGCACCGGGAAAATAACAACCGTATTTCAGGTTGAAAGCCCCTATTACCGCTGGGTTTTGGAGGCTGTGATAAAAATCTTCCTCGACGTGAAGGTACCTTCTGGGTTGGCTTGGGTCGGAAGTCCTAAGATGGGGGCCGCCCTTCCCCGGGGGCAGGGTCGCACGGAACCAGGCGGTGGGGAGGGAGGAGGAAGCGCCGAGGTCAGAGGAAACCCAAGGCTCCTGGGGCACCAAAGGGCTGCCCGCAGTCGGGGAATGAGCCCTGGGGAGGAGCCTTTTGCGAGAATGCGAGCGCGCCCCAACACGCCTCAGACCTCATAAACCCACTTGGCAAAGACCCGGGAAGCGGCTGGCCGACCGACTGCGGCGAACTCGAGAAATTAACCTGCGCTACAATTAAACGGGCTGCCGCCCTTTCAGACTCACCTCCAGCGACCGAAACAGAGAGCTCCCGAACCGGCCGCGGGGGGACCTGGCTCCTCCCTCCCGTCCCAGGAGAAGAGGACAAAAAGGAGAGATGGACTTGGAGGTGGCCCCGCCCTTCAAACGCTCCAATCCTTGGAAACTAAACCTCCTCTCCAAGCCTCCACGTCTAGAAGGGACAAAGGGAGCGAGGAGATCCAGAGACCGATGGGTGGCTTTCGGGCTTCTCATGTGGGTGCTTTGGGGGAATGGTAAAATGGCTTAAGTTTCCATTCCAAATACAGGACAGTCTTTAGAAGACCATCTTCTGGTTGAGCAGCGAATTGACTTCCCCAAGCCGTGAAGCGAACTATTCCAAAACTCCCGCAAAGCCCTGCTTTTTGAATGGAGGAAGGATAAATTTTCAAATAATGATGCCATTCACAATTTTTTCGACTTTTTTTGGAGTCACAAGTGCCGTAACTCTCCAACTAAAATAACAAAGAAATTTAACATGGTTGGGGATTAGGCTTTTTGTTTGATTGTTTTTATTGGGGGCAGTTTTCTTTCAAATGATAGTAAAGCAACCGGATAAATAAAAGCTGGGTCAGTCAAGGAAAGCCCTGTGGCTGAAGGTTTTAGTGAAAACCTTGATAAAGTTGGCACTTAAGTAACTGTAATTATGCATTGCCATTAGCGGACAATTAAGATAACAGGAGAAAGTTCGCACCTCCTGCTATGTCATTCCTTAAGAATATTCACAAGGATAACACAAGCCTAGTTGGTGGGGTATCTTCTCCCCAGGAAGGTTAATTTCTAAATTTTTTGCATTAAAGATGGAAAAGCTTAGGTTTTGTACACAGCCAACAATGTGAGGGAAGTCTCATGGGGACATGTTGACTGCATGAAATTTGCCTTTTGTTGCTGTGTCCCATGCCATTATGCCCCGGGGTCATATGGGATTTCAAGACTTTATTAATGTTCATAAGGAAATATGAACATGTTGGAAGTCTGGACTTTCTTCTCCCTTATCATGGGTGACTGGCATGCAGTCTCTTCATAAAGGGAAATTATGGCTCATCAAAAGAGTGACTTTATGAGCATTAACAGAATAATAAATCTTGGAATTTTAGTTCAAGAAACAGTGGAGTCCTATAATCAGAGTGACCCATGCAAATGTGATCCACTTACGTGCCCACCTCCAGCAGGACAGGGGTAGCCTATAAATCATTTTGGGTTTTAAAGGTTTAGGAAAGGAAGGCACTCAGATCTCTCAAACAAAATTGTTTATGGGAAGAAAAGAGCCTTCTGTTACCTGCAGGAAGGAATCATGGAAAGAAGAGTTGGTCCAGAGGCTACATTAAAAAGACAGAATTTCAACTGAAACAAGAGTTATTCACTCCTGTTCTTATTCTGTCATTGTTATGATATTTACATTATATCATATAAAAAAGGAAAAGTCCTTACTGAAAACTATACAAAAAAAACTCAAAAAATTCCAGTTTATAACCCCACTTTCTAAATTCCAGCTGGAAAACTGTTCATGCTGAGGATTTTAGCAAAACAAAGAGCAAATGAATTGAGTATAGCTTTTTCAGAAGTCTCAATTATTCCATCTTTAAACAGTTGACCATATTGTGATAGGCCTCTTGAACTTGGTATTTTCCTGCCTATGTAAAACTCCTTTTCTGTGCAGTTCAATATAGTCTTTTACTATTTGAATTTCTGATTTTCAAAGGGTTATTCTAAATCCTTGAGATCTTTTACTGTCGTTGGAAATTACTTCGTCTTTAAAAAGTTTTTTTTTAAACTTCAAATTCAGTAATTATGGATCCACCAAATATCCAAAAAGTTAAGTCACTAACACCTTCTTTCTGAGCCCTTACAGAAAAATCAATATATTCTCATAAACCCATATCCAAATATGTATAACTAGTTGACTAGTGTCCATGCCTAGGGAGGAGTGATGAAAAGGAGACAAAGGTGGATAATTCATGATTCTGAACAGCTCTCAAAGGAAGAGAAATTGCAATAACTTATATTAATCTTACTCTGTATGAATATTTGTATATATACCTTTGGATACCAGAGAGGATGTTTCAATAGCAATGTTCTAAAATTCCAAAAAGGAAAAAATGTCTTTTTCCCATAAGTACAAGTTAAACTTACAGTTCTATCAAACTAGTTACCGTAATATGGAACATTCATATGTAATATCATTCAATCGTTGAATATCTGTTTAGCAGCTACAAAGTGCCACACTCAAAGCTGAATATTAGGGATGCAAAGATGAATAGGAGACAATAGGTTAGAGTCTCAGTGCATGATCTACTTGTTGAACCACTAGCTTTGAAATCACATTACTTGGTTATAGAACTTTGTTTTGTTTTTTGTTTTTGTTTTTTTTTACTTTCTCAAAAGCAATACAGGAATTTAGCCAATTTGGAGACCATGATTAACTTGAACATTTCTGCTATTATGGAGTTATTGAGAAGTAATTTTTGTTAAGGTAAATTTTGGGACTTCATTTTAAAGCCAATAGCCTAACTCATATTTTTACATGAATTTCTTAATAGAGATCTTTTTAGGAAAGAGAGCAACCTTAGCTCAGCTATGATTAGATTAACCAAAATTCAGAAGAAAAAGACTCAACTGAAAGATTGCCCATTTACAGTATATCATATAAAAAAGGAAAAATCCTCCTTACTGAAAACTATACAAAAAACCAAAAAAATTCCAGTTTATAACTCCACTGGGGTCTAGCAGAAAGACCAGTATTTCCAGATTCCTGCTATTTGCCTGAAACTAAAGCTCAGAGAGGGGACATGACTTAGTCAGGACCACAGAGCTGGTCAGAGGCAGTCAACTCTAGAAGCTATGCTTCTGTGGCATTTTCCTGAAGTCACTGTTCTCAGATCACTTTCAAGATTTTTTTTTTTTACATATTGCCATGTTATTTACTTAATATATATTATTTTTAAATCAACTTTAAAATAATTTAGCTTTATCAAAATAATACCCATGATATCACAGGTCTGATGGCTATTTTATATATACATTTTCAATACATATCAAAGTAAATATATTATTAAAATTAAAGTAACAAAAAACTTTTGGATTAAAGTGCAGTCTGATAGTATACATGCCAAATTGTAAATGGTAAGAGGTGAGAGAAGTGGAAAGGAAAACGTTTGAGCTATTTTTGTGTATACAAACATGAATCACTTTTACAATTTAAAAAGTAAAATAATAATAATAATATGGCGGTGACTACTATACCCCCAAATTAAGCCCTGCCATTATATATTCCTACTAGGAATTAAAAATTGGCACAAGTCATTTTAGCACAATTAACAATATATATTTAAAGTCTTAAAATGGTCACACTTTTTGTCCCCTCAGAATCTATCCTAAGGGACCAATCAGAAATGGAGAAAAAACTTATACAAAAAAATGGTAGGTAAAGTAAGTAATTGAAAATAACTTGTGATTAAGAGAAGAGGAATGGTAAATAAATAAGAATATATTCCCACTATGATGCATTAGGCAGCTTAAAATTGTTAGGAAGATTTTGTAATTAAATAGAAAAATGGCCTCCTGCTAGATAAAAGACCCAGATACAAAATTAGGATCACTGGTTATTTTTTATAACATGCACACACATGCAAATTACCTTGAAATATACCAATGTGTCAATAGTAAGTTGACTTCTCATTAAAAATTTAGAAAACGTGGAACATATATAATCTATATGTTATATAATTATATATAAACCATATATACATATATGTATATACATACACACACACACATATACTGCTATGGAGTTGACTGCTTTGTTTGAACTGAATTGTCAGTTATCTGTTTAAGTATTTAAAAACATTTTAAAGCTAAATGGTAGAACCTCCTTTTATGTATCTTGTAATTTATAAATGAGTTTCAAAGAGCTAATTAATATTGTTAATAAAATAGTGGTACAGTAACTGTTTAATTTTTTATTGTTATGTTAATCACCATACATTACATCATTAGTTTTTGATGTAGTGTTCCATGATTCATTGTTTGTGCGTAACACCCATGCAGAACGTGCCCTCTTTAATACCCATCACCAGGCTAACCCATCCACCCCCCCTCCCCTCTAGAACCCTCAGTTTGTTTTTCAGAGTCCATCGTCTCTCATGGTTCGTCTCCCCCTCCGATTTGCCCCCCTTCATTCTTCCCCTCCTGCTATCTTCTTCTTTTTTTTCCCTTAACATATATTGCATTATTTGTTTCAGAGGTACAGATCTGTGATTCAACAGTCTTGCATAATTCACAGCGCAGTAACTGTTTTTAATAAAAATAATCAAATTTGCTTTTCACAGGGACAATAGGAAGATTTGAATGGGCATTTTGAGTATATTTTATATACAACAGGAAATTTAAGACGAAAGAGATTGAATGATTTAACCTAAGGTCTTCCAAAGCTAGTGGTGTAAAGAAAACTAAAATCCAGGTCTCCTAACTTCTTACTCTTGCATTTTGAAATCTAGAATTCCACTATACTCTCAAAACATTACCAAATATTATCAAAATAAAGTTACTAATGGCTAATATGAATAAAGTTCAACTTCATCAGTTGTGAAAATGAAAGCTATGATACTTTTATACTTACAAGTTGGCAGAAATATATACTGCATTGTGTGTGTATTTACATTTACCAATTGTTAAGAGTATACATAATTCCCAGTTGAGAAGGATATGGAAAAATAGACCCTTTAGTTCTCTGTTGGTGCGACTATGGCAAGTTTCAATCTTTCTGGATATATTAAAAGTCTTTAACCCAGAAACTTAACTTTTAGAAACTGACTTAAATATTCATGACTACCATCAAAAATTTATGTACAAGGAGGTTCATTGTGGCATTAATACCCAACAAGTGATTGGTTAAAGAAAATATGTTCATCTATGTAAAACAATATATATATATAGCTATCAAA